TTTTTTTTTCTCTTTTTTTCATTCGTGAGATTTCTAATCTACATAAGTTGTTATTAGTTGTGACCCCATGTGTGCAGAATGGTATCCCTAGCCTGTCTTTCATGGTGCTTCTGGATGAGTTCAAACCTCACAGCTACAGGCTTAACTATTTACATCACTAACCTACATACAGGGCTTACTAATTAGGTGCATGGCACTGATCATGCCAAATGCATTTTCTTTTTATTTCATTTAACCTTTATAAATTGAACTAAAAACACATGTGCTTACAAGGAGGAAGCAAATGATATACTAAATTCTAGACTAGGTCATTTCTGTTTTAATGACACTATCTAGATGATATTCAGAAAAATTACTGTCTGAGATTCGTTTAATAAATTTAGCTTATATATAAATACACAGAAATGGTTCTCTTACCTGAATGCTGGCCACACGGGGTGGCAATACTAAGCCCATGTTGTCCCCATGAACCATGATCAAAACACCAATAGTGCGCGTTGTCAGACCCCAGGAATTCTGATAGGCAAACTGCTTCTCTCCTGGTGTTTTAGGATCTTCAAAAATTATTTCAAACATTTTAGAAAAATTCTGTCCTAAATGATGTGATGTTGCTCCCTAAAATAAAATAACAATTTTCAATAACCAATGATGCCTTAGAAGAATATTAAGAACATGTGTTTTAGATGCTCTGCCGGAGAAGGAGGCGCAATATCCTCCTGTACCAGTCAGATCTGATTTGACGGTACACGCACACAAAATAATAATTAAAAAAAAAATAAGAAGAAGAACATGTGTTTTAAAACAGCATTAAACCAGTTTTATTTTCCATTATTTTTTAAAATAATGTGCTTATACATGGAAATCCAAGTTCTTTATAAGCGTTTATTAAAATCTCAATATAAAAAAGATTTACTTAGAAGAATAGTCCCTTAAAGCTCCACTATTCCTTTACAAGCCAAAAAATAAAACTTACTCCACTTAAAAAATAAAAAAGAAATGTGCTTATAAATAAAATTGCTGTAATAGGAGAATTTTGGGTACCATCTAGTTGATTCTGACTCACAGCAAATCCCACAAAGTACTGTCCCATAGGATTTCCCAGGCTATAATCCCTACAGGAGCAGATCACCAGGTCCTTCCCTCTCATAGCGGCTAGTGGGTTCTACCTCTCAGCAGCAAGTGCTTAAATATCATGCCACCAGTCTTTCCAAAAGAAAATGCTAAGATTAGCAAAAAATACTATGGCAGTACATTCCTCTAAGTAGGGTTTGTCAGAAGAGTAACTTTATAAGAGTTATAAAGAAACTTTCATATCATAATAACTGTTCTCAATTCTCCTAGAGTAACACAAGAGGAAGGAGAGTCAGAAATTGCAGGAGGAAGTGATGATATATGTAGTTGACTACTTCCCTGAATAACTATTTCTTTTACCATGGGGCCAGAACTAAATGGTGCACAGCTACTATATTACTAAATCTTTTGGTCAAAGATTGCACAGAAGAGTCCTGATCAAAAGAGGGGGAACAGAATTTCATTTCTCTCTTGACTTTCTAGAACTACGAAGGCTAGGGTCTTTTAAGCCCTAAACTGAAAACATTCCCTGAAATCTTCTTAGAAGCAAATAATATTTTATAAAAAAAGGTCTGCCTTGAGCAGTATGGGTTTTTTTTAAATTTTATTATTTGTGTTTGTGCGTGTACCGTCAAATCAGATCTGACTGGTACAGGAGGAGACTGTCCCTCCTTCCCCGGCAGAGCATCTGGTGGATTCGAACCATGCACCCCTGGGATTGCAGTGCGAGCAGTATGGTTTTTAAGCACTGCTCACATTATCAAATTGACAGCTGTAACTTAACAGATTAAATAGGAACCATAGGGGGAAATTAACTTATTTAAATTAGTAAGGAAAAAAATGCAAAAAAGCAGGGTGAGAATGGACACAAAATTCTAAGAATGTAATCAGCGTCACAGATTTTTACATATAGAAATAAGTGTAAAAACCTTTTCTATTTTCAACAACAAAAAAGAATGAAATTTAAAAGATAAAAAAAGTATTTAAAAAAAACCCCTACAATGGCAAGTCAGATGCAATGAAGACCAAAACTAGAGATTATATAACTAACATGGGAGAGTTAGGGAAATGGGACAGATCTGCTTGAAATTACAATATGATCTGAAAAAGAAATGAAATCTTATAAATATTTTAACTGTCTGAAGACAGATGAAATTATTGGGTCTCCCCACATGCTGTGCAGCAAATGGAAATACATGGGCAACCTAATACCTGTATAGCTCTTCCACTAGCAGATATAAATGCTTCTACTGTGGTTGTATAGTCTCCTCCTGCAAACTTCTCCTTTTCAGTCTTTCTTCCTTTTACAACAGGAATTGCCAAGAGTTTTTCATACACTTCAGCATACAAATCAAGTATCGCCAAGACCTGTAAAAATAGTTTAAGTGTATGTGAGGTAAAATTTTGGACATACTTATTAATAGCTCTATAAATAAGCAATGAAATTAAAATACTTCAGACACAAATGAAAAAACTAACTAAAGCAGTCCATTTGAACTTACTAAAGAAGACTATTCTGAATTCAATTAAGTCTCAAAAAGGAGTGATAATGCTTTTTATGCAGTGGCAAACTTGTATGAATTACTTTCAAATTATAATCAAATGTTTGATAGGAGATAGAACTTATAAGTAGTGAAGTTGGATATGTGGCTAATAAGAGTTTTCCAAGTGAGTTCTACAGGAACTGAGTGATTTTCCATTATTTAGAATGAACTGCAAGAGGAAAAAATAGACTTGAAAATGAATGGTGTAAAATAAAGAATTTATAAGAGCTGGAAAAATCCATTGTACAAACAGGATATGTATCCTAGAATGTTCACCAAAGACTTGCCTATACAATCTTTTGTTAAAGAGATTAAGGTGGATCTAAACAAACAGGAGAAAACCCACCAGCTTGGACTGAGGAGACAAAATTGCTATCAATCTCTTGGAATTTTATAGACAGGAACTGGGCAAAATCCTGTTGTCCACCTCCTAAAAAAAAGGAAAAGTCCCATCTCTGGAGTAGCTCAGTATTTTGAAAAACTATTGGAAGAAGCATGGGAACCTGGCCTTCTGAATTTCAAAAGATGGTGTCACCACCTCTTTATCTCAGAAAATAGATCTTCAACTCAATTCCAGAAAGTGAGACTGCTGTTAAGTTGTGTCAGAGAGATAAGGCATTTGCTCAAAGCTAAAGGTGTAATGTCCAATAAGAAGATAAGGTCAAGAGGGTAGAGAGGTCACTCAGATGTATTAAGAAGAATGAGGTTACTTCTAAAGCAAAGGAGGCTGGACTGCCATCCCAGAGGGCCTAAGAGACAGAATTGAAGACCCAAGGCAGAAGGGCCTCAACCCAAAACTCAGAGATCATGGCCAGTGCCCAGATGATCTCAGAGCAGGTAAGATGACTTTCAAACCTTGAGAGCTAATATAATTTGCTTTTGTTGTTGTTGTTGTTATGTGCCACTGTATAATTTGATTTGCTGGGTTTTAAACTTGGTTGATAACTAGGATCCCTTCTTTTTCTCTAATATATCCCATGTGTAATCGGATTATATACTTTGGACTTATTACATGACTGTATTTTGCAAACACAGTAAATTATATCAAAGATTCACTGAGAAAGAATATCAGCCCAGGATGGAATATACCTGAAGTCTCACCTATATTTAATTTAGATAACTCAGAAGATAAGCTTCTGGGATCAATTCCAAAATTATATTACAAGGTAAATGTGTTTTTCATGCATCAAGAGCATGAATTTTGGAGGAGTCAAAGGGCAAATTAATCTGGTAAAGAAAATTAATTAATCTGGTCAAAATTACCAAAGGATAAAGATTAAATATGTATTGTAAATGCGAACTTCTGCACCTCTGGTAAGCACCTAACAATTACACTGGTTATAATTACATTTGTGAATGTGTTCTTTGTTATGTTAAATGAGGCAAGACAGGCACACAGGATATGTTGAATCAATCTCTTGAAATATAAGGGATTAAACAAGCAGCAGAGTAGAGACGGGATAAAACGGATGCAAAGACATGTGAGAATCTCCAAGAAACCAGTAAGCAGAGCTAAAGAGCCAAGGGTCTTCCCTCCCCCAGAGCTGACACTAACTTCAGGGCTCTAGCCTCCTACACAGTGTGAGAATAAATTTGTTTGTTAAAGTCATCCACTTGTGATAGTCTGGTTAGATCAGTACAAAGATAGCCAAGAAAATGACATGGAAAGAAGTAGAAAAAAACCTTTAGAATATTATATAAATTTAATGCTTATGAAAAATGTAAAACATGTAATTTACTAATATTTTAATGGTTCTTAAATGCAAATATACTTAAATTCTTCTTTTTATTTTAACTATTTAAAAGAAATTATCAATAACAAAATAAATTAACCTTTAAGTTATTTTTATATCAAATCAAATTTCAATTTATAGTCATTTACTAAATGCTTAGTATATTAATTTATAGCAACTAATACTTAGAGCTGAAAAAGAAACATGGATCCTAGACAGAAAGAACATAAATTACGTATATTTATTTATAGTTAGTATGCATAGCAATTTTAATACCTCTTCTGCTGCTTCCTCAAAGGTAGCAAAAGCACTATGCCCTTCCTGCCAAAGGAATTCACGAGTACGCAGGAAAGGCTGAGGGTGCTTGAATTCCCACCGCTGTAAGACACAAGAATACAGTCCTTGTTAGAGATCTTCAATTCCCACTAACAATCTCTTACGGTAAGTGACTGAAAATTCAAAGTCTAATTTAAAATTCTTTCACACACTTAATCCTTTGAAATATGGAAGTAAAGATTAAAAACTAAGTGTGCATGTGTGTTTTTAACAACTACAAGAGAAAGAATGAAAGAACAAAGGAAGTGGGAGAAAGGTAATGCACCTACCACCACATTGCACCACTGATTGAGTTTGATGGGTAGGTCTCTGTGGGACTGAACCCACTTTGCATATGCAGGATACATGACTACAAAAAGTAAAATAAAGGCAGTGTTAGTGATTTTTTATTTTTAATACTTGTAATGGTAAATAAACAGTATTACTATATATTTCATAAAGCATTTTACTAAATATAGAAATCTAAGCTTGAACATACTTTACATTCTTCAAAATCAGGTTTATATATAAGATTTAATTTCATTTTTATCTGTTTTGTTTTTAAAAATACTGAGGTCCTTAAAAAGATGTTCAGATTCTAAGTTAATTTACTTGCATTCATTATTCTATTTAATTCCCATTCACTCTTCAAAGCAGGTATATCTTAATCTCAATTTTCAAAATAGGAAAATTGGATTTAGAGGCATTATATAAATTGCACCTACATAGGTGGAACTAGAATTTAGATCTCTCCAAGGAAATAGTAAGGTTCAGTAAATAATACTACCCCTCAGGAAAAAAACTGGGTTTGAGAGTTTTAAATAGTATGAAGCACGCTGAAATCTCCAATTTGCACTTCCTGTGACCACTAAACAATGTAGGCTTTCTGATTCTGGGGTTAGTACTTGACACTTGTGCGACTTTCATCCTTTCTCCAGGTTCATAGAGCTTCCAGAGGCAAGCTATTAAGGAAGTGGATGCCACTCCTGCTTCCAAGCTTGTTTTAACTGGGGAGCTCCACCAAACACTGTCCACCATCAGTAACCATTATCACATTTGATACATCAGTGTCACAGTGTTCAGCTTCACAGTGACCACAAGTTACCTCTGTACAGCAAGTGGACACACCAAGGGCTATACGACCTAGAAGACTGTTTGAACAAAAACAATGAAAAACAGGCCTATACATAGTACATGTCTATATATAAGTAAAACAAAAAGTTGCTGATTTGAGGTGAACAAAACTCCTTGCATCCTTATTTTAACAGTGCAGCATATAAAATCATGTAAGAGTATCACCAGAAGTACCCTAAAGCAATTAATCCTTAACTCTAAAGATAGTTAAGTCAAAAGGTTCAGAATTCTCAAACAGCTCTCCTACTTCAGGATTATGGTTTTCAGACTTTTATCTGAAAAATGGAGATACTAACTGTTGCCCTGTACGTCTCACATTTCTGTGAGAGAGAAAAATATTATGAAAATGATTAGTCATTGACTCATTAACAAAATTAAATATTATTTAATTAACAAAAAAGAGCTGAAGTTCAACTGCGCAAACTACAGCCTCACCTGTTTCACTAGTAGGACGTAGGGCAATTGGTTCTGCCAACTCTGTTTTGCCAGATCTTGTAACCCAAGCAACCTAGTAAAATAAAATCATTTTTACACATTTTTTACAGCAGCATTTTGATTCAACAGTAAAAATGCAGAGTTTAAAAAAAAAAAAAACGCAGAGTTTTCTCTATTTCAATTTTCTCTGTATCAAGTAAGCCAGTATGGGCTAGGAGAAAAGGTATGTACTTACCAGCCTTCTAAAATGTTAAAGGGAAATATAAAAGCCCGTTAATGATATATTCAGCATTGTAAAAAAGTAAAAGCCAGTTAATGGCACATTCAGCATTGTAACTTGCCAAAGATAAACTTTTTTAAAAACGGCTTTACATTTTCTAAATTGTTACAAGTCTCTATTTTCAATTACTATTTAAGGGTAACTGAAATGATCTAAAAAAACACACTAACATTTTTGTGAGAAAAATTTCAGAAAAATAAAATAAATATACCTCTGGAGCAAAGTCAGCAACATGAGCCTTCTCTTTCTCTAATGCACATTGAGACACAAACATGGGGAAATAGCAGTTTTCAACACCAAGTTTCTTGATCTCAGCATCAAAAAAGTCCTTGATGAATTCCCAAATGGCATATGCCCAGGGACGAAGAATATAGCAGCCACTTACATCATAGTATTCAATCATTTCTGACTTTGTGATCACCTTTTAGAAAGGAAAAATATATTCAATCAAGTCTAAATTGAACAAAAAGTATAGTGTAAATAGCAAGATTATGATAATTCAACTTCAAATCTGACTTTCATTATAGACTCATTCATATAAATGTACCTTTCTATACTAAGAATATATAACTGGGCTATCATATGTTATTTCTTTAAATTCCTCTGTATCTGCCAATTCCTTTCTATATAATGACTCAGTATATTCCTTCC